AAAACTTCATCAAAAAATATAATTATGGCATATAATAATTATGCAGAAGATCGTTAGTCAACAAATCGTTGTGTTCACAAATCTAAAATGACACAACACAGCTTTGACTTAAAGAGATAACATTGCCAGTTATCAATTTAAGAAAAACCTCTACCTGGGTAAATACAACCCAATTGGATTTTAATTGTTTATATAATAAGGCCTAACAATACAAAAAGTAGGATTTAATAGCTGAAATTAACCTTAGGAAAAATTGTGATAAAAGAAGAGATGATGAAGATACGTGTTTCCCAAGACCGACTGACCCAAAATCTGGGAAATTTAGGGTCAAACATGTTTTGATGCCTGCCTTCTATTCCCAGGGTCCTGGTTTAATTCCTGTGACAGCAGGACTTTTTCTCACAGTTAACAACTCCACACCCTAAGACTCATAAAGAGACTTCGTTGATAAAAGCATCAAATCATTTCATTTAAAGAGGACCTTTGAATATCGGCCGACCTCCTGGATACGCTGGAATGGTCACCATATATAAATATGGTTTTTAAAAAATGTTTTCCTTTTTTAAATATCATATTTTTCTCAAAAAAAACCTTGAATACAAAGAATAAAATAGAAATTTTCAAGCATTTATTATTTTATATACCTTATGCCATGTGCATAATGTCCCGGTTTTAGCCCAGTTACACAACTTACCAACAAGCTTAATCAGAGTTATGCCTATATTTTAAAATGAAATGCAACGAGCAACCCAGGTTTCATCACAGATTGCTGATGCCAAGAATTACTGAATAATGATAATGTTACAATAGTAAGATTTGTAATAGTCTTGCTAAAATGGCAACCCCAACCGAGTTGTGTAAATGACAACTTGTTAATAATGTGCAAGTCAGCGTGTGATTTGTGAATTTACTAATTTTGTCAATATACATCAATTTGTAGGCGTATTTGTTATGAAACTGGCACACACAGTATACAAAAAAATGTTAATGACATAACTGACATTTACCACAGCATTCTTTGTAAAAAGAAAGAAAAATTTAGGCCTACCCTAACATTGTTTCATTCAACTGAAAATTTGGGAAAACTTCGAACTCTTATATATAAAATATAAGCCTAAAGATTTGTTAATTAACGTATCGTAGTTCAAAGTAGGCCTAAGTCATTAATTTATCAATTCTGTTTCTGGTGATTTTCGCAAATGTAAAAAAAAATGGTTAATGTTACAAGTAAAGTTTTAAGTCGTTTTATTTTTAATAAAAATTATTATTTTTTCTTTCCTTTTTATAATTTTACTATAAATACATCACTTTATGAATCACTAATTTTGGTCATTTTTTTCATGTTTTTTTTATTTTTTAATTATTTTAAGAGCCCCTAATATCAGCTCACCGGTAATGATGAGCTGAAAGGGTTGGGGAGAAACACCACCATTCGCCAAGGAGAAAGAAAATTATATGTATTTTCTACATATTAGTAGACTCTAAAATCGATTAATAAGCCTTCGAGATTCTATTGTATTTTCGGGGGGATTCGCCCGTAGATCACTTTCGAGCAAATCCTGGGGCCATTCCTGAATATGGTTTAAATAAAATAAAACAAAAAATATGCAAATATATTAAATTAAGCGTTATGGTCTTAACGTCATAATTAAATGAAAGAACTGTATATTTTTATGACATGATGCTTGTAAACTCTTTGTCTGAATCGGATCAAATGCTAAATCATAAACACACATTCAGAAATAAAGGTTTATGAATTTCAGGTGTCACACACTTCAATCTTAAAATGAACAGGAAATTTGTACCAAAACAGTTAACAAGTATAACAAAGCTTCATGTCATAAAAACCAGGAAGCCTTTTAATTTGTCTTAATTCATTAGTATTCGATCAATACCTCAGTTGAGTTACTCAGTGAACCTCAGAAATACTCATAACGGCTAATACTGTAGAATGTGATGTTGTTGAACCACAGTCTAGGTCTGTGTATATATACATCACTATCAGTATACTCGTTGTCTAAATAGCCTATTAATCGTTTAGTAATGATTACTATTTGAATCTACACATATTTATAAGGGGGATTGTAGTGTTCACTATTTAGAAATTACACGTTGAATAAACGAATAAAAGAAATACAAAATTCTTTGATGGAAAACAGCAAAAATGATTTTGGTTGAAACTCGGTTTTGATTAATTCCGCTTGTAATGTTTTTGTTAAGTACGGTAATAGAGCTAAACGGCAAAATGTATGCAGTGTTGTGAAAATCTTATGAAGTACGGCTTCCATTGAAGTAGACCTAAGTGTGATATATTAGCTCGTAGGTCTAATTAGACTCTCATATTGTATGAAACAATGGTGGTGCAATTAGAGGAAGAAAAGGGACGGAAAAATTCCACTGACATTTCCCTCTGGACCTTTTCGTGGAGTTGAGTGACCCTGGGCCCATTACTCTCCCGGCGAGGACACTTGCTTCTCCGTCGGGGACATCGCCCCCACCTTGTCGAACAAATGGCGTTATCACTGATGGAATTACTGTAGCCCCCCAATCCCCACCCCCATTGCACCTCCAAAGAACAATTAGCAGGAAGTTGGACCTATGACAATGACTAAGACTGCAGAACCCTTGTAGTCTGAAATTTAGGCGAACGAGATCTGCTCATTCAACCTTTTAAGTTAGTAAGATTGGTATGGTGACATACATGTTATTAATGGTCGAAAGGTCCAGATGCCATGAATGTAAAATACACTAGTTTCAAATCAATGTTAGTGAGACGTGAAAGCATGCTACGATGAGTGAAATAATTTCTTACATTGTAATCGAGTACTCTTCTTCTCTTCTATCCCTTTTCTTCTTCCTCTCCTTCTCCTTTTTCTTTTTCTTTCTCTTTTTTTTTCTCATGAGCCAACTTCATATAATTGAAGGCTTCTTCCCAGTAGCTCGTTTTTTTGTTTGTTTTTGTCTTTTTTTTTCAGGAAAATTGTGGTAGGCCTACTATTTTTGTTTTCAGTATTTACAATTATTAAGTTAAAAAAAAAAAAATTTATTTAAAACTTGAACTACCCTAGGCTAAGTACAAACAATAGTTTGAAGCAGGTTGGAAAAAAAACATTTGATTGAGTAAATCAAAAGTAGATCAGCCTAATACCAACTAGAAATTAAGTTAAAATTGTATTCTCAAGACATCACAACAGATTGTTTAGATGGATGCGAGATCGTATCTGCTGTCCCTGTTGAGGTTTGGCTTCTAATAACGAATTTCAATGGAATTTCTTGAATATCATATATTTATGAAGCCAGATAAAATTATAACCAGGAATTTATGCGTTTACTTTAATTCCTTTTCTGCTAATGCCACTAATTAAAAAACCAAAAAAACAAAAAACGACAAGATGATGGAAATGAAACACCTCAAATACACGATGGTGGTTAAAACGATAGAATATTTCAGCAATGGTGGGTCCGGAGTGAGTGCAAAAAAAGTGCTCCTCCCACTCCTTCTCCCACCCTTGGCATCAGGAACAATAGTTAATACTAAACCAAATTGTTTAGATAAATTAATATGACTAAAATGGTTAACTCCAGAACACCCCGGGATATTTCCTTGGACCCCAAAAGGAAGAACACCTCGACCTCTCCTGACAGATAGACAGGCCTAAAGATTCTGTATTCTTCCCTGCTAAGATCCAACGAAAACCACACACAGGGGACAGTTTGGAAGATTTTGTGTCCCCTTCATCTTAATGCTTTTCCAAAATAGGGTTCATTAACATGTAAATCGATGTATTGCCAAAAACTCCTTCAACCAACCTAAATTAACCTAAATACCTAAGTCGCTATGGTTTACTAGAAGAAAAAAAAATCACTCGGGGATATAAAAATATGAATCAATATTCACAATTATATACATATACATATACTCTTGAAGACTTTACATTGTTGTAATTGTGTATAGTAGTTTTAGGGGGAAATATGCTCGGGTGGCCCGATGTGGGCATGGTCGGGCTCGCTTAAAATGTCTTGAAAGTGGTCCGGTGTTTAGGTGTTTCAGAGGTTTATTTAATTGAATTTATGTAGAAAATAAATATTACTTTTTCTCTCTGACGAATTGTAGTTTTTTTTTATGGGGGTAAACTGGAGGGGCAAGAAAATTATCTGGGGGCAGGGAATGCCTCCCGTGCCCTAAAGCCTGGTTCTCATAACATGACTACACTGTCGGTACAGCGTTCTTCCTGTAATCGTCGCATTGCGTTAGCTGCTTGCTCTGCTATTCCCAAGGCAATCATGAAGGCACTCGTATTTTACCGACCAATCGCGTCGCGAAAACTGCCACCAATTTTATGAAAATCATGATTTTATGAAAACCCCAAGATATATGGCCCGGGATGACATAATGCTTTAAAAAAATTTATTATGAATATTTAATTTAAACCATTAAATTTTTTTTTAATTATAAAAATTAGATGGCAATTACATTTATAATGTTTGTAGCACGGTCGGCAAAACAGCCAAAAAGGTTATTTCTTTCGATCTTCAATTTTTGAAATGTAATAACTTATTTGATCCATGTAATTAGCTATTTTATGTTTTCATTGGTTTGGTTTATTATTACATTTTGTTTTTGCTTGATTTAACAAGTGGTGTATGTTACTTATTTAATTTTCTAATAACAAACATTTACGTATCGATGTAATGAACCATTCCACTAAGCCACAATCTTTTGATACGTTGCTGAGGTCCAACAATACGACAGTGTAAACGTACGTAAACATAATGTTTGTGAGACAAACCGGTAGTCCTGGACCTTTTCTGATTTGTTAGTTGGTATATCTGATTGACAGTACTCTTGAAAGGTCAATTCATTGAATATATTTCCTAGGTTTTGTTCAAACACAAAGATAAATAAAAATAAATAGTACATTGTATATAAATGTAGATAGGGTCCTGTATCTTTATTAAACGATTTCAATTACATTCAGATTCTGTAGCATTTTGGTATATGCCTCTCTCCACTCATCCACTCTACGCCTTAAAAATATAATGGCATATTGAAGTAATTACAGCCTATCGAAATCAACCTGTAAATTATAAAATGATAATTACTGTATATTTATCTTAACTTGAGAATTATGCTAAGTTGTAGTAATCTTATCATGAAATTATTATGGAGAGTTATTAAATTGAGGGCGCTGTTCAGTGGATAATGTAGAGGGCGTTGTTCAGGCATAGTAGTTAAGATTGGCTTTCTTCTTGGACTGGACCTCAAGAATACCATCCATGTAGTCTTCATGACAAAGTTCTGGAGCTCCTCTCCTCAAAGCAATCATACCCTAAGAAGGAATAAAATGCAGCATATCAAACAAAAATACCATTGACAACAATAGTGTGTTTATTATACAGTCACAAGTAATGACTACAGCAAGAAAGAGGAAGGCAGCATACTCAGCAATGTAAACACTGACAAAAATATACTGTGCACTTTTTACCAAAAATAGACACTTATTATTATTATTATCTATTAATAGTAGTGTACACACTATTTCCATCTAAGATAATGCAGCATGACCAAATAAAAATATCTCGATTCAAGATTCATTTTATTGTCTAATTGGAAATTCACGGTGGTTAAAGAAATCACTACAATGTAAAAAAAAAAATAATACAAACAAGTAAGATATATAAATATATACTTATTTAAAATACACATAATTACCACTTAAACAAAAGCAGATAGAGTTAAAGACAACAAACGTTTTCCTCTGTTATTAATAATAAAAGAAAATTCAAAGCTTATTATTTATAAAATCTTGTTATTTATAAAATCCTGTCACAAAACAATGAGTATGAAATATTAGGCTATGGAACTTTGTCTATAAAGGTTACCAAACAGTCAAAATATTAGGCTATGGAACTTTTGTCTATAAAGGTTATAAAAAAATAAAAAATAAAATAAAAATAAAAATAAAAAAAAGTAGATGGGTATAGGCACTAAGTGTTGTCTGTCTTTCGGTGAATATATGTGATTTGCTTTTGATACTAAAGCAACTTACCAGGGGCAGATACAAGAGTTTGAAATAGAGGGGACCCACGGAGGAACTTTAACAGATGGAGGATTGATCCACCTCAGCCCTACTAATGGTAGGGGCTGAGGCAAGAAATATTATGATTATGGAACCTATACATGGTTGGAATTGGAACTCTCAGATTTAAATTTTAATATAATTTTCTTTTTCTATCCGTTTTTTTTTAAAATAATTTCAAAAAAAAATTACAGGGGCCCAGGCGGATTTCCCCCTCCCCCTTGAATCTGCCACTGCTTACATTGTTCCTTGCAGTGCAAATTGTCATATTGCAAGTATTAGCTATTTCAATCATTTTTTTTTATGGTGATTTAAAAAATATATATATATATATATTGATATAAACTTACAGCCTCTACACAAACCGCTTTACATTGAGCCCCATTAAAATCATCCGTACAGCGTGCCAACTCTTCAAAATTAACATCTTTTCTGTAAATAAAAAGAAATATTTTAAAATTCACCATTTACATAACAAAAATTTACACACAAAATATTTTGAAACCAAAATCCAAACACTTCTTACCCAACGTTCATTTTTCTAGAGTGGATCTGCATAATTCGTGCCCTGGCTTCCTCATTTGGGTTAGGGAATTCAATCTTTCGATCCAATCGACCTGATCGTAACAATGCTGGATCCAAGATGTCAACTCTGTTAGTGGCTGCGATCACCTGCAAAAGATTGAGAAAGCTTGCAATTAACGAAATAGTAGTTCCACGTATGCATATGGCGATACCTTCCAATTTAGAGGCCTTTGGCTTCCTCCATGTCTAATTAATTTTATTGTCTTTATTATTATTATTATTATTATTATTATTATTATTATTATTATTATTATTATCATTATTATTATTATTGCTATATTTATTGAAAAAATTAATGTGAGACAAGATTTTAACATTGAATAAAATCAAACTATAAAAAAAATCACCTACAGTACTGTACCATCCTAGCAAGTAAAAAACAAGAAACATTAAATACACATTTGGAATATGTATTTTAAAAATTGAGAAAAGCTAAAACCAATAAAACAATATTTTAAAAAAATATAATAATAGACATGAAATACATCAGCTTATATATGAGTTTAAAATTTACAACCAAAAGAGCAAGAAAAAAAAAATTAACATTAAAACATTTGGAATAAGTACTTTATTCTAAAAATTGAGAAAATAAACTAATAAAACAATATTTTTTTAATATAAAAATAGACATGAAATACATCAGCTTAACAAGCGTTTAAAATCGATAAGCAAAATTGCAAGAAAAAAAAAAGATTAATGTTCAACTGTGTTGAAAACAGCTGAAATTATATTTAACTCGCTCTAAGCTCTACAACCTACCAGCAAAAGATACTGTATATTCTCACGTAAAAAATGAGATTTAAAATAGCAAATTACAATTGAAAAACAGAGGGTTGTCTTATAAGCGCAACACATACAATTTTTTGATTTTTAAATCATGTTCGTCTTGTGTGCAGATCACTCGTAACATGCTAATCTATTAATAATATGAAGCTACTAACTGTTGTACGTAAATGCGGTGAAATAAGGCTTTAATGGACAATTTAAACTAAAAAGCCCATTAAAATAGCATTATTTGGCAGGTAAGTCCTACATTTTTGTTCTGTTTTTAGCCAACTAGATGCAGTATCAATACCATCAAGTGGAGCAAAAAGTAGGAATTCTGATGGTGAAACAGGCGGGACGTCTTATACGCCCAACATACAAAAATCGTTTGAAAATCTTCTCAAACTCGGGGGTCGTTTTATACGCCGATTGCCTTATATTTATTCTATATCAACATTATAAATTCCTACCTTGATTTCAGATGTTGAGCTAAATCCATCTAATTGATTAAGTAATTCCAACATAGTTCGTTGAACCTCTCGATCTCCCGCCTTCTCACTATCGAAACGTTTTGTTCCAATCGCATCTAATTCATCAATAAATATAATAGCAGGCTGTTTCTCTTTGGCAAGAGCAAACGCATCACGCACAAGTTTGGCTCCATCCCCAATAAACATCTGAACTAGTTGAGGACCAGCTAGTTTCAGGAATGTGGACTAGAAGAAATAAGACACGGATAAATTAGCAAATTGGTACAAACTGAGTCAAGCTTGTACCTCTCACTAAGTACAGTACTATAAACCAACACTAAACTAACATTAACAGTCTAAATGCTTTAAACAATATGTTAGCTTATGTCTTGCTTGTAAACCTATACGTACTGCTATATGCCTTTAAACTATTGTCGTGTCTTAGGTGGCGCGAAGTTGGTTCCAACTTAACTGTGCATCCTAGCATTTTTATTTGTTTATATATTTATTCTTTTTATTTATTTACAATGCTTTCAATTATAAATTCAGCAATCTGAAGGTGCATTTCCAGACCTCAGGCCCACCCATGGTGGGGTTACGGTGTATAGACCTGCCAGCTGTGAAAGTCCCTCACTGGGCCCCCTCTAATTCCTGGATCGGCCACTGGCTATACAGATACAAAAAAATTAGGACTGCTTCATAATCAAATGTACAGTTGCCAATTCTATCTAATTTTTTATTCTTTCACTGTGCTATAGTTCCCTGGGAATCGTTCACATTGTGCCCCCAAACCTGCACCAATGCAAATCTCACCTAGGAAGTATTCCCTTTGTCGGGTATCCCAAGTCTTCCGCAAGGCGTGGGAGTCTCCCAGAAATCAGAAGGGCATTTCGCAATCCCGCAAACCGGAAAAAAATCGCCCAGAAAATAACCCATCTCCCGCAAGTTTTAGTACTCTATTAATTACCCCATTAATATCATTTGTCTTACGAAAGTCGGTGTCGATTGGTATCACCATTAGCAGGACCCTTGCTTTGTGTTGGATAGAATCTGGACATGGGACTATAACTTGCTATCCTGTAAATCAGTGTAGATAAAACTGTCGATCCAAATACACAAGTGGATAATGGCTGATTCGAATCCTTGATTTGATTGGACGCCCAAAGCTCTACCAGAGCTCCACATTTTCTAACTTATAAAATGGAATACCTTCGTCTGGGCAGCACAGGCTCTAGCCATTAAGGTCTTTCCAGTGCCAGGAGGACCATACAGCAACACTCCTTTAGGAGGCTGGATACCCATGTTGTCGAACCTCTCCCTGTGTGTCATTGGCAGTACTACTGCTTCTATGAGCTAAAGCAACAAAATATAATAATTAATAAACATCATAAATAACAAAATTCGGAAATATGTATAAATCTGATTACTGAAGATAGACATACTGAGGCTTGCGATACCAAAACCGGCATCAGTGACCAACAAATGAAAATTGAAATCTTAATATTTTCTTATTCTCCACGTAAGCTTAAATATGATGGGTCATTTACTAGAATCGGCATACTGTGGCTAAAGTTATGATTATTAGAGCTTCTCTGTACTAAATTATACAATATTGCTACATTCTTATGCTAATTACTCAGTTTAACATCTAGTGAGAGCACGCTGGTTTTAGGATCGCATGCCTCATATTTGAGGCAAAATGTTGAGATGCGATAATAATATTGAAAATGATGATTGTGATGATGTTGAGGCTCATGAAGTAAGGATGAAGATATTGAGGATCAGACAAATATAGAGATATGTGATGATAATGATAGGATGAACACGATGTCAAGGACAGCGATGATTGTGGTATTTATGATTGTTTTATCGTATACATGCATTCTAGGCATCTGATTGGTTAAAAAGCGGGTAATAACTTCAACCATCACACCTATGACATAGTTTGAATGATACTTCATAAATCCCAGGGGGAAAAAGTACTATCGTGTTAAATGATAGCAATTTTTTTTTTTGCCCTGTTGCAATGATCTCTATGCCCCACTTATAACATTGCTGTGTAATTTATGACACGCATGGACCTCTACGACGGTGAGAGAGGTTGGCTCTTTGACCGCAGAGGCCTAGGAAGTAAGCCTAATCCTACTTGGTGGGTACTCTTTTCGTTACTTCTTAGGCCTTGTAGAATCTATGTATGAGGTATGGAAAACAAATATTGACTGCTCTAGATTCTGGTAAAGGTGAAATATAGCCCCTCGGTGATGTGGAGAACGTAGCCTATCTTCCCTCCAGCCTTCAGCCCTCGTGAAGAGAAATGCTACAGTCTCCACATCACCGAGGGGCAATAGATTTCACTATTTCCCCCATGAGCAGTCAATATTTGATATGATGTCCTATTCTCACCTCCTGGATCTGTTTGTCTAACCCACCAATGTCACTGTATTGCTCTGTTGGTCTCTCATCGACTTCCATAGCTTTTACTCTTGAGTCATATCTGTAAAAAACAATAAATTAATATTGATTGAAGTGATGTTAAAAAGTTTAATAATCATAATACCTAATATACATGAAACAATAGGTCTATAGAATTAAACTACTTACTCTGCAGGTAAAGTCTCTAAGACAAGGTAAGAATCTTTGTTTACGCCAACAAGATCACCTGGGGTTAGGTTTTCTGGTTCTACAAGTCCGATGACAGGAAGAAAGTATGTCTGTAATAAGTAACAACATATTTACCAATATAAAGGAATGTAAAATTTTTATAGAAATATTAACATTAAATTTTCACTAATACATAATTATGGGGTTTTTTTTCATCAAGATTTGCTCTTTTTAATAACTACATTTTAAATTGTTTCAAAATTTGATTTTAGTTTCTCCACCAAATAAACAAAATAAAATTTAAAACTAAGATGTATAGTAACTAAGTTTTTAGACTGCAGAATTAGTAATAGCACTAACTCTATAAAAAATATTGGGAACAAACCTGTCTTGTAGAGGTCTTGATGACGGCACACTTGCCTTTGCGTTGTGAATCCAGATCAACATTAGCACCGTCTGCTTCCTCCTGATCCTGTGGGTCCACATCTAACAGCTGAGTACAAACAAACACAGCCAAAATTTAACCATATTGTGCAGCTTTAATTTTAAAGACCACCAATCAAAATGATTATTGTGGAGTGCTTTTGATTTTTTTCGTAGTGTCTAGAGACACTGTACTGTACGCTACCTTAGTAATGATAAACACTTACCATTATCGGTATTGTATTCCTAGCCACTCTCCGATTTGTTATTCACAAAACTGATAAACTGTAATAATTACTCACCTCAATTACATTTGATACTAAATATGGCAGTGTCTTGTTCACTTTGATTTTCTCTGTGTTTTCTTTTATCTTTTCTTTCTGAGCTTGTAATTCATGTTGAATACGCATTGTTTCGCTTTTCATAATCTACAGAAAACATGATAATGAATTGAAATATATATATATATA